CAAGTGATGATCACAAGGAGGTAACGCCCTGTTTCTCAAGATTGTTCTCAAGATTATAATCTAACTTTGTGGTCAGCCAGTTCCTGGAACAAAGTCACTGAACTGGCTAGCCTAGATTTTTTGGCTCTACTCTTTCTGCTAGGAGGTCTGAATTTATTCTGGTATTTCAGCTCTTGTAGACCAGTCTGGCCTCGAAGTTACAATGACCTGCCTGCCTCTGCCTCCTGAGTGCTGGGATTAAAGCATGCACCACCACTACCTGGCTTGCTGATACTTCTTGAATGCTGGAATAAAGCTGGCGATGTCTGAACCCTTCCCCTCCCATACCTGGACTGTGCTAGTGTAAGGTATTACCCAGAACCATAACCCAGAAGAAACCTTTGAGTCTTGACCACCCCTAAGTCCTCTACTGCAGCCTGGTGTGAGGTGGTAACAACAGGGGTTCCAGTTGTTGGCTCACGCTTGTGAAAGCTGGAGCAAGCAAGCTTCCCTCCCTCTCTCGGCCTCCATTTCCTCGTCTGTAAACTGAGGTCTCTGGTAATAGTTCAGTACATGAGTGCTTCTCTAGCAGACAGTGATGGAATAGCAGATTGCCTCCATATTATAGGCCTGTAGAATTGAAACCCAGCGAGGGATTTGTGTGGCCTTCTGGGGGAGCGGCTTCTAGGAGGTTCTTGTATAACCAATGAGTACGTTTCTTTGGCTGCTGGACCTTGGCAGTTGGCAAAGCAGTTGGTATTTTCACTTGTTTTTAGGTAAGGAGTTAATGGAGTGGATTAGCGAGGCGGGTTTAGGGTGTCGGGGAAGTTAGGGGAGACTGTATTTGTTTCCCTTTAGTTTGCTCAGTTTTTTAAAAAGATTTATTTATTATGTATATAGTATTCTGCCTGCATGCCAGAAGAGGGCACCAAATCTCATTACAGAAGGTTGCCAGCACCATGTGGTTGCTGGGAATTGAACTCAGGACGTCTGGAAGAGCAGCCAGTGCTCTTAACCTCTGACCCATCTCTTCAGCCCCTCCCACTCATTCTTTGCGGCAGACGTCACAGGCCATCTCTTCTGTGCATAGGTCCTTGATCTCCTCATAAAGCACACTTCAGACTCAGGAGTTGGGGCAGAGGTGCAGCTCAGCTGGCAGAGTACTTGCCTAGCACCTAGGGAACACTGTGTTTGATCCCATACACTGAATAGACTAGGTGTGGTGGCATAGACCTGTAATCCCAGCAGTAAAGAGTGGAGAAGGGAGAATCCATAGGTCATCCTGAGCTTCGACCTCAAGGTTAGCCTGAACTGCACAGAACCCTGTCTCAGAACAAATGCAGAAACCCACTGCTCCAGACCAAGAGATACTAAGCAGCAGAGGCCACATCTGAGCCTCCATTTTTATTTATTTATTTTTTTTACAAATATACAAAGTCGGGAGTTCTAGTGAAGGGCTTGGTGGCCTCTGCCTTTTTTTTTTTTTTTTTATTGAGCTCTACATTTTTCTCTGCTCCCCTCCCTGCCTCTCCCCTTCCTTTCAACCCTCTCCCATGGTCCCCATGCTCCCAATTTACTCAGGTCTTGTCTTTTTCTACTTCTCATGTCATTAGATCCATGTAAGTCTCTCTTAGTGTCCTCATTGTTGTCTGAGTTCTCCGGGATTGTAGTTTGTAGGCTGCCTTTCTTTGCTTTATGTTTAAAAGCCACTTATGAGTGAGTACATGTGATAATTGTCTCTGTGTCTGGGTTACCTCACCTCAATATGATGTTTGCTAGATCCATCCATTTGCCTGCAAATTTCACGATGTCATTATTTTTTCTGCTTTATAGTACTCTATTGTGTAAATGTACATTTTCCTTATCCATTCTTTAGTCAAGGGGCATTTAGGTTGTTTCCAGGTTCTGACTATGACAAACAATGCTGCTATGAACATAGCTGAGCACATGTCCTTGTGGCACGATTGAGCATCCTTTGGATATATACCTCAAAGTGGTATTACTGTGTCTTGAGGAAGGTTGTTTCCTAATTTTCTGAGAAATCACCACACTGACATCCAAGGGGGCTGTACCAGCTTGCATTCCCACCAGCAATGCAGAAGTGTTCCCTTTTCCCCCACAATCTCTCCAGCATAAGTTCTTAACAGTGTTTTTGATCTTGGCATTCTTACAGGTGTTAGATAGAATCTCAGAGTTGTTTTGATTTGCATTTCTTTGGTGACTAAAGATGTTGAGCTTTTTTTTTTTTTTAAGTGTCTTTCAGCCATTTTAGATTCCTCTGTTGAGAGTTCTCTGTTTAGGTCTGTACTCTATTTTTTTTTATTGGATTATTTGTTCTTTTGATGTCTAGTTTCTTGAGTTCTTTGTATGTTTTGGAGATCAGCTCTCTGTCCAATGTTGGGTTGGTGAAGATCTTTTCCCATTCTGTAGACTGTCGTTTTGTCTTATTGACCATGTCCTTTGTTTTACAGAAGCTTTTCAATTTCAGGAGGTCCCATTTATTAATTGTTTCTCTCAGTGTCTGTACTCCTGGGGTTCTATTTAGGAAGTGGTCTCCTGTGGCGACCTTTGCTTTTAATCCCTGCTCTTGGGAGGCAAAGGAATATCTCGTGAGCTGGAGGCTAACCTGATGTATATGGCGAACTTCAGGCCAGTCGGGAGTACACTGTCAGACTCTGTCTTAAAATACAAAGCAAGGAAGCTAGAGCAATGTCTCAGTGGTTAAGAGTAATGACTGTTCTTCCAGAGGACCCTAGTTCAATTCTCAGCACTGACATAGTGGCTCACAACCATTTGTAATTCCAGCCCTAGGGGTCTGAGCTTCTGGCTTCTGTTGGCACCAGGCATGCAAGTGGTACACAGACTTGTATGAAGACAAAACACTCATATACATAAAAGTAAAACAGACGGAAAAATTCTAAAACAAAACAGACAACAACAGACATAAAGTCAAGAGCTCAAGAGTCTGGGGTGTTTGTTTGTTAGTGGCAAGTGCTTGCTAGGCTGTATAAAGCCCTAGGTCAGACCCCCTCTGGTTTCTCTTCTGAAAGTCATTTCTGTAAATCTGTTTGCAATTTTGTACTTGCCACTCAAGGATTAAAAGACTTAATTTGCTCAAATTCAACGCGGAGAGCCAAATACATACAGAGAGATTTCTTTTGTAAGTTTGTGATCCGGAGGAACTGAGCGCGCAAAGTCGCCTCTCTTGAGGAAATAGAAAGGATAGGAGCGTGCTGGTGGGAGGGGAGGCAGCTGTGTCTGTCTCCGGACACCAAGGAAGCCAGAGTCCAAAGAAGGCTACAGAGAGAAAGTGATCGAGATGAACTGGAAAACAGATACGCTCTCGAGACTACCGCAGTGGCGTTCCTCGGCCTCCTCTAGTAGTACCCTTTTCTCAGCTCGCCCCCGGCTGGCTTCTCTCTAATGCCAAGGTTTCTCCAAATGGGAGGCTGGGTCTTGGAGTCCCCTGTCTAAGGTTGGGGAAAAGAACCTCTAGTCTACTGTGAGGAGGCTTCGGTCTCGGGGAGAACCCCGGAGATCCTGGATGGAGGGTGAAGTATCGAGCCTGGAATAGGGGAAAGGTCTTGTAGACCAAGTGGAGTTCCTCAACCAGTCCGGAGGGGATAGGGAGTCCCTCAGAGGGAATGACGGGAGGGACTTCATTGGTTCCAGGAGCTGGGCTCAGGAAGGGGCGCGGGCTCCCAAAAAGCTCTTGGCAGCTCTGACTACAGCTAGGCTAAGCCGCAGGAGGCGGAGCCTCGGAGTAAGGCGGGGGCCACAGGGGGCGGGGTCGAGGGGCGGGGCGTGTAGCAGGGGTGGAGCTTGGAGGTTTGTGTGCTCAACCCTCCCTCCTCCGGCCCCGCGTGTCCCCGTGACGAGGCTGCACCGAGCAGCCGCGGGCCGAATCCATCCCGCCGCAGCAGTCCCGGGGTGCAGCAAGGGTGAGGTGGGTGGGGGCGAGCAGCGCACAGAGAGCCCTGAGCGCCGCCAGGTGAGGTCGGAGAGGTGGAGGGACGGGGAGGCGGGGGCTGTGCCGGGAGTGTGCGGGGGGCGTGTTTGCGTATCTGGTGGCGGTGAGGTTTGGGGAGCGGGTCTGAGGGCTAGCGCTTGTGGCTGTTAGCGCGTGGGCGCGTCCCTGCGGTAGCAGGTCTGGGTCTGCTGCGCCCGTCTGGGCACTGCCCGCGGTGCTAGGGGTGTGCGGGACTGTGTGTGTGTGTGTGCGCGCGCGCGTGTTTGCGAGGGGCCACCGGGTTGTGTATCTGCGTATGCGCTGGGCCGTCATTGTGCCTGTCCCGAGCGCGGGGTGCGGGCCTGCCTCAGCGCAGACCATGCTGCCTTGGGGTTGTTAAATAGGCAGCCTGCGGGGGACCCGCTCTGCTGCAGGGGGAACCCGATTGAAGAGCGCCGCCCCCACAGGCCTCTGGAGACCAGAGCGGCCTGAGGACCGCAGACAGACACCTGAGGGAGGAAGGGATGGACGGAGGGAGGGATGGAGGGAGCGAGGGAGGTGGTGGTGCGCACCCGGGAAGGATCTGGAGGCCTGCCTGCAGTGCCAGACCAAGATGGGGAGACTGAGTGAGGTGGATGACAAGAGATAGGCAAGCGGACAGAGGAAGGCAGGTTGATAGGAGAGAATCGAGTGTGCGAAGAGAAAAGGCAGAAAAGGACAGTCCTGGGAGGACAGAGAGTCATTGGGAACGGACTGACCGACAGAGGCCTAGACCTGCAAAGGGGCAGAAAGATTAACGTGAACACATAGAGCGAAGAACCTGTCAGAGAGTAACTGAGGTCTTGGGGTTAAGAGCTTAAGCCAGGAACTAAGTCTGAGAGGTAAGGTCCCTCGAGTCCAAGCATATTCCATCCAAAGTTGGTGTATTCCACTGGCCCCATCAAATATCCTGACCCTCTGATTTCGCCGTTCTTTCTTGGCCTTTTTCATCAGTCTCCCTCCTTGGTATCCCAGCAATGTCATCGTCTAGGGGAGACAGAGTAGTTACAGTAACAAGTGTTGAAGGGCCACTCTTGCCCTGGCCTTGCGGCTAGCCCTAGCTTGAGAGGAGCTGGGGTGGGGCGCTGCAGAGTTCTTTTCTCCTCTCCCACTCTGCTCAGAATGGTGCTGGAAGGAAACCCTGACGTGGGATCCCCTCGAACCTTGGACCTCCAGCACCCAGGGAACAAGGGCTCTTGCATCCTCTCTTCTCCTGGTGAAGACGCACTGCCAGGCGAGGAACCCATCAAGTATGGTGAACTCATCGTCCTGGGGTGAGCCTCCCTAGTCCGGGAGTGATGGGCCTTGGGTAACCCCTTCCTTGGGTCAACCAAAACAACAATGGGTACCAGCCGCCTTCCCCAGGACTCTTGGCTCTTTATTTCTTGTTACCTTTCCAGATGAAAGACAAAATTGACCAAACCCTTACCCATTCATAATTACATGGTCTTTCTGCTTCTCATAAAATTCCTGAGACAATTCTTAACTGCTTACTAGAGTTTCTAATTAGATGAGAAAGGGTCTGTACTGTGTGTAGGTGTGGAGAAAGAACTCTGGTGCTGAACAAAACTCCTTTGTCCAAATCCTACTTCTGCAAGGTGCCAAACTTTCCTGTGCCTCCGTTTCCCCATTCTGAAGACAGGGTTGACACTAAGTCACACCCCCAAAGGTTATCTGAAGGAAGGGACTTTTGTAAAGGACATAGACCAAGCGTCTGGGAGGCAGGCGGTGCTAAACCTTTTCCTGGACATTATTTCATTTCAATCTTCACAAAGATGCTGTGAGGAAGGAAGTGAGGAAACCGAGGCTCAGAGAGGGGAAGTGACTGGCCCAAGGGCACACAGCTGGTAAGTGGCAGGGCTGGGATTTGAACCCAGGTCTTCCTAGCTGTAGATCTAGCACACTGTCAGTAAGCTGCAGCTCACTCTTGTGCTACAGATGAGAAAGTAGAGGCTATGAAAGAGGAATTTATGGGCCCTGATGGCTGGACAACCCCCAACCCCATCCTGTCCTTACCTACACTTCTCATGAAACTTTTCCCCCAGACACAGATGGTTCTTTCTCTCCCTGTGTCTTCTTTGACCTTGTTTCTACCCTGAAGACACAACTTGATCGGCTGTAGGTTCATGATGGAGAGTAACAATACATAGCAGTGGCTGCTGTCTGGTGACTTGTATGTGCCACCTCACCTTCCTTCAAATAACAACACTCGCTCAGTCGTATCAAGAGCTTGCTATAACCATGCCAAACTCTGTCAAGCATTTTACAGTGTTTTATCTTGTTTGCTTCTCAAAATCTGCCTTCTGAGTAGGTCCTGACAAATGACCTCCATTTCAGAGAGGTATGTCAGGAGTGGAGGAGCCAGGATGTGTGTATGCCAGGTTCCTGTGTGTCTCAGCCTGCATCCCAATCCGCCCCCCTCTAGCCCTGCCTCTGCCCATTCAGAAGGGTTCAGAAAGGTAAAAGAGATGCTCCTCACCAGGTGCTCACTTCTGAAAAGCAGCTGCTTTGTGTCCCGACAGAAGGAAGGGCTGTGTTTCTATTTGTGCAAGGCCAGGGACGGAGGAGACTGCAGACTCAGAGGAGGGGCTTTGTTGACAGCCCTCTGTCCTGAGCGGCTCAGGGAAGCCTCACTTAAGCTGTGTGTCAGAGCTACAAGAGAACACGTGGAAGTCACACATGGAGTCAGGTGGAGTGACACTCACCTCTAATCCCAGCACTCAGGAGGTAGAGGTAGGGAGGCCAACCTGGGTTACATGAGACCTTGTCCCTAAATTAACAAAAAGAAGAAAGTGGGAATGAAGAAGAGCAGGGGAGGAGAGAGAAAAGAAGCTGTGAGATACTGGAGGAACCTTCCACCTGGCAAGGCAGAATCTCTGGATAGGTCTAGAGAATATAGATTTTAACAGACACATTAAATTCTAATTGATCCTTGTATTGACAGGGTCTCACATAGCTCAGGCTGAACTCCATCTGTTTCCCTACGTAGCTGAAATGACCTTGAGCTCCTAATCTTCATTCTTCCAAGTTCTGAGATTACAGGCATCCGCCACCAGAGTGCATTTATGTGGTGCTAGGAATTGAACCCAGAACATTGTGTACGCTAGACAAGTCTCCACCTACTGAACTTCATCCCCAGCCCTGTACTTATTCCCTTCTCCAAGGCTTTCTATGACTCCCTACTACTTACAGGAAACATTCTTAGCTCGGTATTCATATCATCACACTATACTTTACCACCGGTCTCTAAAGCCTGTCCTCACTACAGCCTGCCAGTCTTAGGGCCTTGGCTCAGAGTCCCCTAGATTGAAGGACTTTGGCAAGTCTAGGTGGAATATGACTGCAATCTGGCTTCTTTTCTTTTTTTCCCCCTCCTGGGCCTTGACTTGTCTAATTTATAAACGAGAAAGAAAGACACTTCCCTGGCAGGACACTTCACACATTCCATTAGGTAATGAAAAACACGAAGGACCAGGAACGGAGGCAGCAGCCATGGCAGCAGTCAAGCCAATGAGTCACCTCCTCTTTGCTTCTCATGGCCATCCCCCTGAGTAAAAGCTGGAAAGGTGTGGAAGCCAGACATAATGGAGATTGTGGAGATGATGGAGGGGTGGCATTAGAAGCTGGTTTCTTCCTGCCTGGTCATTTGTGGTAGTTGCTTGACAAATGGCCCTCTGATGCAGAGGTCTTTCCAGCCTTCGGGGCCCGGGTTTGCTCCCAGAATCTCAGCCCTGGGTTTTTATCCCAGCTCCTGCCACTGGGGCTTGAGTGTGCTTGATTTGTGCCTGGGTCATGGCAGGTGGTTCCTCCACTGAGGGCACAAACATGACTGTGATACAACACCTCTACGCTCCTAGCATCTGCTGTCACAGCTGAGGCATCCAGGGGACACTGGCTCATTGCAGGAGGGACCCCACCGCCTGCCCCTCAATGCAGCCATTTGCTGTTCTAGTTCTGGCATTTGTTTATCACGGTAGGGTCTGCTCTGAGCTGGCAGTTTCCTCCAGGTCCTCTAGGGGCTCACTCTCTTCTTTGTCTCCTCCCACTGTCTCTCCCCTCACATCCACAGCTACAATGGGTGTCTGGCAAATGGGGACAAGGGCCGCCGCCGAAGCCGCCTGGCACTGAGCCGCCGGCCACATGCCAATGGAGTGAAGCCAGACGTCATGCACCACATCTCCACACCACTCGTCTCCAAGGCAAGCTGCTTCTCCCAGTGGAATGGGTGCCATCCTGTCCTGTGTGCCCTGGGCTGCCCAGGCCCAGGTCTTCAGCCTTCCTAGACCTACTGCCCATGGCCTTTCTGGAGCAAGGGAGCCCACTATGTCATTCCTCACTGCCTATTGGCTCAGCAAAGAAATAGTAATGATGGGGCTGGAGAGATGACGGCTCAGTAGGGTAAGAGGGCTTGCTATGCAAGCATGAAGATTTGAGTTTGGTTCCCCAGCACTCATGAACTAAAAACACATGTGCCTGCAACCCTAACACTGTTGAGGGCAAAGACAGGAGGATTGCTAGGCTTGCTGACCATCATCCTAACTAAAAAACACAGGCTCGGGGCTGGAGAGATGGCTCAGAGGTTAAGAGCACTGCCTGCTCTTCCAAAGGTCCTGAGTTCAATTCCCAGCAACCACATGGTGGCTCACAACCATCTGTAATGGGGTCTGGTGCCCTCTTCTGGCCTGCAGACATACACACAGACAGAATATTGTATAAATAATAAATATTTTAAAAAAAAACACAGGCTCCAGGTTCAGCGAGAGACATAAATCAGAGTGATAAGAGGACACCCAATGGCTTTTAGGGGCACATGACCTGTGCACACACGTGCACACCACAGACACACCCCAAAATGGTGCTAATAGACATCCTCTGTGGCGTGCCCACTCTTTAACAGCCTGCACAGTGTTTTCTTAACTGCCACTCGCCATTCATTGGTTGGCAATTTTACTCATTTAAAATTGTAAAATGCATTTGTGTGTATAGATGTTTTTGCCCGCGGGAGTGTCTGTGCACCATGAGCATGCAGTGCCTGTGGAGGTCAGAAGAAGGTGCTGGATACCTGGGGACTGGAGTTACAAACCCTGTGAACTGCCATATGGGTGCTAGGAATCAAACCTGGACCCACTGCAAGAGCAGCAAGTACTCTTAATCACTGGGCCATCTCTCCAGTACCTTTCACCATTCTTTTAGAGGTAGCTAAGGCTCCATGAGTGGGATGTGTTGTTCACACAATGTATTAGTCGGGGTTCCCTAGAAAAGCTGAACTCATAGAATGAAACTCTACCTACCTACCTACCTACCTACCAACCTACCTATCCATCTATGAATAAATATATGGGGTTATTTATTAAAATGGCTTACAGACTATTGTCCAGCTAGTCCAACAATGGCTGTCTACCAATGGAAGGCCAAGAATCCAGTAGTGGTTCAGTCTACGAGGCTGGATGTCTCAGCTGTCTTCAATGTACTCTGGAATCCTGAAGAAGGAGGCTCGAATGCCATTGACGGAATGGACTTGCAGTGAGGAGAGCGAGCAGGCCAAGAGTGGGAGCTTTCTTCCTTATTCTTTACATGGGCTGCCAGCTGGTGTGGCCCAGATTAAAGGTG